ACGTCCAATACCTCAGAAAGGCAGTCAGCTCAACAGCGGAAGGTATCACACACACAGCATTGGAATGGGTCCAGGAACTCTGGCCAAGGATCTTGAAACTCCTCCTTTCTTTTGTGAAAATCTGTGGTGGGCCATTATATCCAAGGCCTGTAGCTTTTAGATCTTTTCTTGACCACCGATCTGCAAATTAATCTGCTCTGCAAGTACAGACAGGTAAGATACACCTTGTCCTGTAGAGCCACAGGCATGAACCATAGCCATGGCCTTTCCCATTGCACTGGCCATCCCCTTGGCCAGAAAATGCTCTACACAGGGGCAGGGGGATAGAGAAGACAGCAGGCTGGCTAATCCTGAGCTGTTTGGCAGATCCAGATGCCTCTAGTTATCATTTCTCTACATATGGCTGTGTCCCCACTACATAGCTTCTTCAATTTTCAGACTGAAGTTGGAAAGAACCCTGGTTAACCAGATAATCCCTTCTCATCCAAACCTGCTTCCCAAAGAGCTCTGCAAGGTGTTCAGACACATAAAGAGCTGCTGAACAGAGCAGGCTTTCTCTGAAGTTTTTGAAATTACAGGGAGTGAGCGAGGCCGGGAGCTGGAGAATGTACATCAGAAGCATGGCAGAGCATCCCACTGTGTTGCACCTTCACCCGACCAGTCTAATTAAATGGTACAGGCCACAGACATAGAAGTAACCAGGCAGCTCATCATCACCTCACTGTGAGGCAGGGAAGGTATTGCCTTTGCTAGCCAACATGCCACCAGGGAAGAGACTGTGTTCTGACAGACACCTTTCACACTGGCAACATCAACAGGGAAAGAAGAATATATTACTGCAGGAAGATGTTAACCACGTTTGTGCCAGCACCAACTTTTCCAGTCTAGGTCCAGCTTCTCAAAGGGATTTAACTTTATTCTCTTTTTGTTTGAAAAGTCCTATCGTGCCTACACAATGTGCTTAAGGAAGGATGGTAAGATGCGCTTTAATGTCCTTTATAGTCTGAAGAGAGTGCTGCATTACCAGAAAATATATGAGGTCCCTAGTGAGTTATGCAGATCCCTCCAGAGTACTACAAAGAAGACCATTAAACTGGCTGGCACCATCATCTATTCTGTGTGTGCCTTCCATATCACAGAGGAAAAATTACTGAGGAAGATTTAAACAACCTTCCTTAGGGTTAGGGTTAGGCTTAAGCTTAGTCTTAGGCTTAGGGTTTAGAGTTTGGGGTTGGGGTTAGGGTTAGGTTTAGGGCTAGAGTTAGGGTTTAGGGTTAGGGTTTAGGGTTAGGGTTTAGTGTTTAGGGTTAGTTTTAGTGTTAGGGTTATGAAGGTTCATCCCTTTGCCTGCCAGCTCAGGTTGTGAATCAAAAATCAACAGTGTTCAGGAAGAAAAAAATATAGCTTCCCAATGCTTAAAAGCACCTCTGAAACTTAGCTGGAACTGATTATTCTATGCATAAAACACCCATGATCTGAAAGCCCTCTGGACCTAATAAATGTAGGACTAAGTAGAACACCCTGCTGGAACACTTCCAGTCTTGGGCAGCTATTGCGGTCCTGTAGAGCCACAGAGGATGAGACCTAGAAACCATCAGACAAGGCTTGATACAACCTGTCACGGACACTCTGTCCTACAAATTTGAGGGTAGATGTGGTTGGTGAATGTGTCGGGGAAGAAATTACATACCTGAAGGAAAGGATAAAGCATTTTTGTGATAAACCATTTTGATTTTTTTTCTTAACACATTTTAAAGCATACTTTTGAAACTGCTAAAGAGTCCACAATATTACAAGAGCTCTGAAAGGCATAAATTACTCATTAGAATACTGATGAAGCAGTCAGAAAGGCACATGACTTAACATTTATCATGTGGCCCTGCCAGTTTTTCTCATCAGAAAACCATGAAAGATTTTTCTTTATCATGGGGAAGGTTACATTAAAAGTTGCTACAGGAAACATGTTCAAGAGTCTAATGTTTTTGTAACACACTGTCTCTTCCCTGCTCTGCTCTTTCATATTCTGACATTTGGGGATGGCTAGCAGTCAAGGATGTTTTTGCAGTCTTCTGTGTTAATTTAGCACAGAAACTTTTCCTTTCATTTCAATTTTCAGTTCTCAATAAATTTATAATTCTCATGACTTCACAAGAAGTCACATGTAGTTTTCTTCCTCATATTAGGGCAGGAATTCTGTTTTTGAATGAACTTAGATCTTTGCTTGGAAATAAAATTAAAAACTTTCTAAGCATGAAAACTGTTGCTTAATTTTTACAATGTGAACTAGGAGGACTGACAGATTGATTGAAAACTTGTGTAAATACAACACATTAAGGTTGTTTCAGGGTTAGTGCAGTTCTTTACTATGTTTGTTAGATAATGAGTAGATGTAGCTGGTCAAATTTTGCCCAACAGGAAATTGTTCCCTTTGTGCAGCTCTGGTACGCACATGCACACACATACAAGCTAAGCAGAGAACCGTAACCGGAAAACCTGATTGGTACGACTGGAGAATGAACAGGAACACAGCAGCATGGAAAGACTGGAAGGTCAGAAGGAAGAACAGAAGGATTATTGAGAATGGCACATTACTGGCACTTAGCTTAGCAGGTCACTAAGATCCCAGTACAGCTACATGCAGCTTCTCAGGACACCCAGGTTGGAGACAAAGAAGAACTAATAAATCCTAATGATTCACAGAGGTGGGGCAGGATGGGGAGACTGATCACAGCTAGCTCCCAAAGGGTACAAAACATCCCTTCCAAAACTAGCAGTAAGGCTACCAACCTAAGCAGAATGCAGGCAACGTGAGGAGGACACAATAGCTAGCATCCCTTATCCTCCAGGTCTTCACAGAGCATCCCTGACAAACCTCTTGGACACAAGCATCTTGATGCCTGAGTGCTGGGCTCACTCATGCATTTTGGTGATTGCGTGGATACCAAAGTGTCAGTAAATGAACAGCTTTAAAACAGTCACTGCCCCCACCCCTAAGGTTTTGCACTGACACTTGAAACCTTGTAGAAACAGACACCGCAAAAACAAGCACTACAAGGTCCCAACACTGCCATGGTATCCTGCATTCCTCTTGAAAGAAGCATAAAACATTTTTGTTTCATTAGAATTCCCTGCCCTTAAAGATAGGCAGACCTGCTACTTCATGCTGTATATCCAAGTTTCCCAGTGCTGCATCAACACTAACAATCCAAAGGTACTTCTTGGAGTGAGGACGTTACTCCTGTATTTTATGTAGTTTCTGTGGAGGAATTATACCCTGTCATCTCTGCTTAAAAACAACAGTAAAGCAGCCTTCGCACCATTTCTTTAGTATCCTGTGGAACAGAAATGTAGTTAGTGCAAGGCAGTGGATAAGGCTGGAACAGTAGAAAGGGCTCTGGCACCATTGTGTAGCTGCCCAAGGAGACAGGGATGCACGGGGCAATGCTGACAGGGAAGCTAAAAACCTCCTTATACTCTATGGTAAAGTCTGATGTGAGATAGTAAAATCTTAAAACATTAAAGAAATGGTGAAGAAGAGCAAACTGCAGATTAATCCTTAATTGCTTTAAGGCCAGCAACTTTAACTGTGGTGTTTTATTAAGCCTAATTCAGGTAGTACAGTTCTTACAGGGAGAGGGACAGGCAGGTCTCTTTAACACTTCCAGGTCTATTATGGCAGTCTTTTGAAGCAAATTATTTGGATCCCTGCTCTGTGAGAGGATCCTACCCCTAGATGAGTCACTGTCCTCCATCAGGCTGCTAGGTCAACTTTCCAGGAAACATCTTCTTGAGCACTGCACTCAAGCTCTCTGGTACAACACCTCTGTCACACATTGAAGAGCCAGTGTAATGAATAACAAAATTTTTTATTGTTGCATTGTAACATAAAATGAATAATTCCAGGATTTGAAAGCAAGGAGCATAAAAAAAAATGAAGAGGAATGTGACATAACTAATATTTTAAAACAAGGAGCCACAAGAATCTTTTCTAAACACCTTTTCCTGTGATACATCTCTTCCATAGGTCAATCTCACACTGACATCTGTGTAGCCTGCTATTTGACCAGGGCTATGACAGCTAGAAAGAACAGTACATTCATTATCATCCATATGCTAGTGCAGGAGTGAAGTCTTAGTCCACACAGGTGAAAGGGTACAGAGTCAAAAACACCCCTCTACAGCAGGACTAAACACCTACAGAAGGATTAAACACCTTCTCTTCTTTCTGGCTCTGAAGTCACAGACTAGGACTCCTGAGGCAGGGGTTTTCAAAGTCAGGCCAAGGTGGAGGGCCTCCTCCTGGCCCAGAGAACATTCTGCACTGCAGGCAGCTTGAGAGAGAAGTACGCCTACGGTCCCTTGTGCCACTGAACAGGGCAGCACTTCCAGTCAGTTCTTTTCAGGGACAGAGATGCTGGCAGTGGCCACAGGGAACAGTATGGTAGACTGAGGCGAGATCTCTCATTAAGGAGCTACATGATGGGACAACCACACCACTAGGATTTTGTAGAAAAAATAATTACCTGTAATATCTGTTGGGTATGGAATGAGAATCCCAAACAGCTGTTGAACCTCCAGGCAGCTGGGTTAATTTTAAGTATATGCCCTGCTTCTTCTTCAATCACAAGTTCAGTAATTCTGTCCTTCCACATGGAAAACCAACCCTGCTTCTTCTTCAATCACAAGTTCAGTAGTTCTGTCCTTCCACATGGAAGTGGAAGTGAGTCGCTGAAAACAAAGCTATCCATGCCAGTCTTGTGAGCTGTTCAGGCTCTTCCCTACCCTGAGAATGCACCAAGCCAATTAACTGAAACGGACATTTGAATAAGATCTTCCTTACCCACCAGAAAGTGAGATCTTCTTCAAATGTCTCCTTCAATTCCCTCCAGGAAGGAAGGCATTTTACTACTAACAGGTTCAGGTGACTCTGCTGGCAGTCCACCTTACACAGTCCCACTGGATAAAGAAGTATCCTGCAACCTCCTTGATCCTCTCTGGACTCACTGGCCTGGCTTCGCATTTGCTGGGCCTTGAAGCGCCTGCCTGGAGACGAGCTTCTTCAGCTGATCCAGTTTATTGTCTCTTAAGGCATCCCGTATAGCACTGAAGAAACTGAAATAGTGCTGGAAGTTGTGCATCATGAGCAGGACACCAGCCAACAGCTCATTGGACATGAGGAGGTGATGGACGTAGGCGCGAGTATGCCTCTGACAACAGTAACAAGTGCATCCCTCCAGCAAAGGACCAAAATCTTCTTGGTATCTAAGGAGGAAGCAATGTTGGATAACATCAAAGGTAAGAAAATACTCTGAAGCAATAAAGAGTATCCAGTTACTACATGGCCTTTTGCAGGGACCTGAGCCTTGAAGTCCTGAGGGCCTAAATCTAGCTGCTATGAGATGTGTTGAAATCTAAACCAGCACCACTGGCATGAAGGACTTCAAATATCAGCCAGAACTCACTAGAGCCAAAAGGCCACACATCTAAGTCAGAGGATAACTTTGACTACATCACAGCTAACAGCACAGAGAGGTCTTGTCTGTGCTTTCCCTTACAGAAAGGTTGCAGCGCAAGACATGCCTCACTAGCTATCACACAGTCCATGAAGGAGGAAGCTATCAGAAACATCCCATTTAGTGACGGAGCTGCAGGTACCCTCCTCACAAACTCACATACTTTTTGTCCTTCAGAAATATCTCAAATGGTGTCATTTCTGGATCAGGTTTGGAGATTTCATCCTGGTCTTCTTCAGCACCATTCTTTTCCAGGTCCTGGGCCCCACTTTGTTTTAAAACTGTTTTAAATAAAAAGACAATAGCCTTCTATGAATAGACAGCAAGGGCAGAGGAAGGGTAGCAACTTTACAGTAGGTATTTCTGCTATTCTCTTGCCAGATGGGAACTCCTGCCACAAGTTCCACCTCTTTCCTATAGTAAGCAACAATTTTTCTTTAGTTCTCATAAGTTAGTTAACACAAATACAACTTTAGACAATTAAAACAGCAAGAGACAAGTGAAAACTAATCTACTAAACCTAATGAAGAGTTAGAGCTGAAACAACAGTATAACTTTTTGCTGCTCTACCGAGCTGAATTCTTCATAAAATGTCAAAAATATTTCCAGTCTAAACTGCATGCTGAATAGAATGCAATCACCTGAACAAATTGATTTTATTGAGATTTTGTTAGAGTAGGCAGGCATTCTGCATTCAAACATTCTACTTTCCATGCTGTCATCAGGCTCGGAGATTTAGATGCTTCTTTTTAAAAAAAAAAAAAAAACAACTGGAATTAAAAGAGGCTGGTAGCACTAATGCAGAAGATGTAGACTCCACATCTGCCTTTTCAGCAGTCTATCTTCAAAATAAAAAAATCACCCCACAATTTGGTAGGTTTGCATTTTTAGGTTTGTTCTTAAGCAGGAGATGTATTTGGAAACATCAATATTACTGTTTGCACAGTCCACGTCTACTGAATGTTAAACAGACACAGAACAAAGAGATGGTCCTTACCCAGAATCTTATGATTTAAGAATAAGGTGAGACAAGGTAAAGAACAACAAACTAAAAGAAGGGTTAAAAAATAGCACCAAACACAAAGAAACAAGATGTTCTATTCTATTGAGCTGGTTTTGAATTATCCAGGCATGAAAAGCAGCTAGGTTCTACCCAGAAGGAAAAATGTAAAATATTTTTCTGTGTTTAAAAACACTTAATAGGCCAAATCAAAACAGCTGCTTGAAACACATTTGATAGATGCTTTAATGGGTGATACACATGCTCCCATCTCACAGGTTAATGAGGTAATGAGTATTGAACATCTCCTTTTTGTTTTGATATGAACTGATGACATGGACAGGGAGGAAAGCTGCCCAAAGAAATGGGATCCCTAACTTTTGTCAGCTAGAAAGAACAAGGGACTTCAAAAATATATTATTACAGCAGATACATATTCAGTTAATTCTAGAGATAAAAGTATCTTAGATCTCCACTTAATAGGCCCAGCCTTCACTTCTAATGGTGACCAAAAATTTGCCAATGGTGTCGAACAAAAACCCCTCTATTTGCTAAGTGTTTAAGAAATACTTGAGCATACTTTGGCTAATTAAACATTCAGATCCTAGGTTGAGGCCTCAAGTTTGCCTCAACAGGTTTCACACCAAAATACCCCACCTTCAAAAGCAACAGTTGACAGTGGAATCCCAGTTTTTCCAGTAGTTACTGCACTTACTTCAGGAATAAAAACCTCAAATATAGATACCTCCAAAACATCAATTTTGCTTGCCACCATATTGACTGATACAGTAAAACTATAATAACCATCAAAAAACCTACCTGCTGCTTCAGGCTCTCGATGGCAGTCATAACTGAAAACCAAGGCACAGCCTCGCTCTGTCACTTGGAAGGGAAAGAAGCTCTCAAAAATGTCCACTCCCCTTTCAATGCACTCAAGCACCTCATCTGGTTTGCCTACACCATGGATGATTCTGTAAGAGACACACAAGATGACAAATCTAGAATACTGTGAGTAGAAGCAAGCAGGTACCTGAAGGAAAAGACCCATGTGTAACACGCCTAACTTACGCCTGCAACTGCTAACCAGAAGGCAAGTGGGTACACCAGTCATCACTCAGAATCCCGTGTGCTTCCATTTCCCCACCTCCAATCTATCCAGTACATAGCAGGCTTTTATTATCTGCCACTTGGAACATGGCAATAGTCCCTCATTTACGGCGGAAAAACCTCATTCTGTTCATTACATCTGGTTTCTTTCACACACACATAAATACACTTAGATTCAAAATTCACCTAACATCTGTGCTGCAGAACATGTTTTCCTTAGTCATGTTTGTGCCCCAGGGAACTACCAGCTTCCAGACATATGGACCCCTTTGTCTGGTAACTGTTTAGGAAACAGTCTAAACAGACTTGATCAAGAGCAGCAGAGACAGCAGTGGATGGCTGGTCAAAGATACAAGTTCTTCAGATGACAGACATACCGTATAGCACTTGCAGAACTGCCTGGAGGAGAATGCACTAATGAGAACTGTCACTGGAAAGCAAGGAAAGTACCTTCCTTTATTCTTCCCTCCTCTTTAGACTCTACCTGATTTACCCAAAAACCTTGGCTGTAACATCTCCTGGGACATGGCATTAAGAGCCAGGAAGAGCCCAGCTGGATTGCCATCAATGGCAATAGAGATCCTGCTGTTAGCCAAATTTAGCTGGCAGCTTCCCTGAAGGTGGGTGAAGCAGAGAACAGAGCAGTGCCTACTCTGCTGCAGGTGCATGGCTGGGCTGACAGCAGCACAAGCTAATGTAGGGCAATGATCTAAACTGATAATTAGGAAAATACACAGGGGCTGATGAATGAAGTCACAAGGTACCATTTTTAGCCACTTTTCTAAGTACTCCAATTAAATTGATGTGCACAGAGTAAGGATGGAAGAAGTTAACAGCATGAGTGTCATATGTTTCAGGCTCTCAGGGCAGAGAGAAAATGATACTCAATAGTTAAAACAATAGCTCTGCATAGATGATCAAACCCCTTGCTAACACTTATCTTTGCACAGGTAGGGACAAACTTTTGTTCTTGAAAGGGTTCCAATGCTACTGAAAAGGAAAATAAATCTTACCAAGAGACTTCAGCATCTTTAGGTACATGAAAAGACTCTAAAGAGTACATTGATAAGATCATTTCACCATCACACAAAAAGCAGTTGCCTCTTGGGTGAAGCACGGAACGTGTTTGTCTTCTAGAGAATTTCATATTGGGGTAGAACACAGCTGCAAAACAACTTCCCCAGCCAGAATGGCAAGGGTGATTCAGGAAAGCAGAACAGTCTGAAATTCACCTGAGGTCCTTACAAGACCCCCTAGGCCTCAGCAGCTTTCTTCCTACAAAGAGGTCAGAAACACCTGTCTTAACCAGACAAGCAAAATATTTGATAGATGAGGCAGTTGCACTAGTAGCCACTAAGGTTAGTTGAGCAGATTGGACTGTAATTCTCCTGGGGATCTTTCTAAGTAGCTCAAACACACAGGATGGCAACAACACAGCAAGCCTTCTAATTGTCAGGAAAATTCAAACCCCAGGCACTGCTAAGCATGAACAAGTTCCAACACCAGACACATGCTTTCTCATTGAATTTCCTTTTGAACACCATTAGGTCAGAGCAATGCTCAGCTAGCAGAGGGCATCACAACTACAGAAAGGCAATGGGGTCTGAGTCACTCTCTTCAGGAAACGATGAAAAAAGCACACACACTACTTCTGTTGCAGCTCCTCCTGTAAGAGCAACCCATGCAAAAGCCAGCAAGCTCAATCCAATGCTAAGAAACCCCTCTGCTTCTGAATCACTAGCAAATATTAGCACACATTTTCTGGAAGTCTTTAGTTACTGTTAGTCACTTATAAGCGTCCAGAACACTGCCACTTCTGTTCAGTCTCTGGTATGGATCTGATGGGCATAACTAACAATTCAGACCACACTACAATCCCCACACTACGCCAGTGCAAGCAGGGAATACAATTGTTTTGGGCCAGGCTGTACTACCTCTGGTGGTTCACAGGCTCAGTGTCTCAGGTACCAGGTCAAAGCTGGCTGCCATATGATTATATAAGCACTGGTTGGCTCTGTCAGCACCCCTCTCTGCTCTCCTCCAGTTCAGATCAGAAAGAACTAGAAACATGACAGTTTTTCTCAGAAGAGGTCCCTGTAAAACAGGTTGATAATAACATTCTCGTTTGAGCTGAACTTTAAGTAAACCATGGCCTCAGAGGCCAAATGCAAGCAGCCCAGACATAGCCTACCTGTAATTGTTCCTAAAAAAATACAATAAAGACGACTTGAACTAAAATCTTGATTATTCTCCAAATGTGGGGAATACTCAAACCCACAGCGTGAGCACAGCTTGGTGCCAGTTGCAGCTAAAAATTGAAACAAGGGTTGAAGACTGCAGCCTGACAGTGGCAGAATTTATGCAGCCTGGCACACACAGAGCTGTGCAATACAGTGATTATTTCCTACAGTGATATTGCACAGCAGCCTGTAGATGCTCCTCATAATAGGACAGATGGACTTCTTGGGACATTGCCCACACAACTTACCTTGGTTTATCCTCTGGCAGCTCTGCTGTGACAGAAGCTATCAGTTTCAACTTGGTCTCCTTGGCCATGGCACATCCCTGGAAGCCATCTAGCAGAAAGCCACCCACAGGTCGCTTGGCAGTCTCCCTGGCTGATCTGAGCCTCTCTTCCAAGATATCTCCACCTTCAATTGCCCCAAACATTACACTTCTTTGTAGTTCCTGGCCCAGGAGAAAGCTACAAGTGTTAGAGCGTGCTCTGCCAAAGACACCCAAGACACCTCACAGCCCAGACTCCAGATGCCTGCTACTTAAGCCCTGCATTCCCAGGAACTTGCCAGAGCCACAGTATTTCATCCCATGTAAGGCTACTCCCCACACAGCACTGTGAAGTCCAAGCATAAGGTAGAAACGGGACTGCAAGAGACAAGATTCTGCTCCTTACCTTGACACTAACTCATTGAAAATTTTGGTGCCATTTTTCCCATCTCCCTAGAGAAGGCAATAACAGATCATCTTTGTACACAGCTTTTTATAGGCTCAGCACTACATCTGTCAGTGCAGAACACAAAGCAGGTGCCATCACCCTGGCTGTCAGACATCAGATCTCACAATGAATTGCCTTCCAGGGGATACCAGTAACAGCTCCTGTCACCCAGTCTCATTTGTAGTACAGACTCAGATAGTATGTCCCGAAAGGGAGGCAAGTTTCAAAGCTGCTGGATGAAACAAAGAATAGCACTGGCAAATTCTAGGAAGTCCTCTCTCACTTGGAACTGAGGGAAATTCAGAGCAAAAACACGGGTCTTCTCAATCTGAAGAAGATCCTACTTTGCCCATGTATATAGCATGAAGTGAAAGAAATGCACTACACACCAAAAGCAGAAAAAAAAAAGTTCTCCTCAACTAGTAGAGATGGGTATCCTGGTGCAGGAGTCAAGTTATTAAAAGAAGAGAGTGGCAGCAGGAAGACCCACTGTGCTACTGGGCCACCTGGGCATTTTTCAATTCATATGCATGAAACGATTTGCTATTAAATCACCTCCTGGGACTGGCCCAGGATGCAGCACAGATCAAAAAGCAGCTGCGGTGCTATTGCCCTGATATTTTGGGGACCTTACCGGTGATTTTTCTAGCAGCTGAAGGCATACATCCAGGAAGGAAAGTGACCTATCCACAGCCTTCTTGGCCCTTTTTCTACCACTTTCCCCAGAAATGGTATCTCCATCAGATATGCACTGGAACCAGTCTGGTTGGATGGCCCGCTGTATGTCCATGAACTTGGAAGCTGTCATTTCCATGCGCCCCGAGGTTCCCCACAGGGACACTGTCTGTCAAGGAAGAACAGGGATGAACGTTAGTTGCAAAGGTTCACAGATCTTAAGGGTCAAAGGAGAGAAGGAAATGGTCTGGTGAAACATCACATGCTGAAATGATACTTCATAGATAAGTTCTCTAGGAGCACGGCTCAGACAATCAGCTGCACTTGGTACAATGCGTGAAAGGAGATAAATGACTGAATTGGGGTTTCTGGGATACTCTTTGGTGAAACTATCACACTCGACACAGGGACTTCTCCACATGTTTGGAAGTCTCTGAGACAGAGTAGCTGGCCTATCATCACACAAACTAGTGGCAGAATTGGGAAAAAAATGAAAAATAATAAAATATTTAATTCCCATCAAACGCACGTTGTCATCTCATGAAAAGCAGCAAAGGCTGCAATCCAACTCACTAGTTTTCTGTACACAATGCAAAACGAAGAAACTATTTCCTCTTCCGAGCAGTTAATTCATTCCACACATGTGCGTATACGTGTATATATAAACCACATAGACACACTGGGAAGAATACACAAAATTGTTAGGCAATTTAATGTCAGAATCCGATGTTATTTTAGGTCCTAAATACAGCCACTTAAGAAGGGACTGAAATACCAACTGCAAAGGAAATACACAGCTTTCAAACTGAGCACCTGTAAGAAATGGCAGGTACTCATTAGGATTTCACAGTCTTCTCAGTTTCTTCTCACACTTTCCATTCTGTGTGCACACATTGCCCCCCCTCCCCCCCTTCCATCATTACTCCCTGCTACCCTCAAAAGATTTTAAAGCAAGACAAAAGCACCTCCACAGAGAGGTCATGTCGCCTGAACACCTCTGGGCTAGCAGATGTCATAATTCAGTTTGCTAAACATTCAGATTCACAAAATGTTACTGCAGCCACTGCAACTATGCACACTACCATGTTTCATCCTATTCTGCAGAATCTGTAATTAACCTATGACAGCAGCTTGGCAGCTGCTTTTGTTGTACTATTGTTAAGATTTGTGACAGTGCTGCTCCAAAATTTTAAAGGAGTACTATAGTAAGCTAAGTATTGGGCTCGAGCCATTTAACAGTTCTTTTAATCTGCAGCTCCATTAGTGCTTTTTTTAAATGAGGAACAGTTTTCAGCTATCAGAAATAGCTTATAGCTTGAAGTGTTATGGTGACTTTTTGGGGCCTGAGGCTTTAAACACATTCTCCTAGCTTATGCCAGACAGAGAAATAAAGCAGCGCACTTCTCATGCATACTAATTCATAAACTGAATTTGATTAAAAAAAAGAGCAGAACAAATTTTTTTGTCTGGTCTCCACAAAAAAACAAAAGCATTGCGCAAATACACCACATCTGTTGTCTGTCCACCCAGCGCTCCTGATTACTTTTGGCTTCAACAGTCAATTTCACTAAATTTGAGTAACAAAGAAACAGCCTGAAGTCTCCAAAGTAACAACATTTTTGTAAGTTTCTCATTAAAAAAAAAAAAAAAAAAAAAAAAAAAAGCAACTCCAAAGAATGGAGATCTCAAATTAGTACCTGCAGAATCACTGGAATGCAGCTGCTATACATTGTTCTGCAGCTGCATGTTAGCCAGTTAGTACCTGCTGCCTCTTATGCAAGAGCATCAAGGAACAGCTGGTGAAGGCAGGCAGAGGAAAGTCAGAACTGTTTGAGCCAAAGGGCACAGAGTGTAAACAAGTCTAGTTACCTTCATTCTGCTCTTCAGAGGAAAAAAGCTGCTTTAATACATAAAATAGCCATGCAGCTTAGAGAACTGAGCAGTATCCCATGATTATTTAAATCCAGCCTGTGCCAGGCTTTCTGGCACAGAATCCAGAGGTTTCTGTCCCGCTGCTTTCGAAAAGCTCTCATAAGTATTTGCCAGCACAGATCCAGCTGCAGAAGGCCCTGCAACAAGGTGAAAAAAATCTTCACCAGCTTTTTTTTTTTTTAAAAAAAAGGCCAAATCAAACCTGCAATATGCAGGCTTAGATCTCTGCTACCCTATCACCTCATAGCGGCACAAGAATGAGACAAGCTTCAGGCAATTCCTTCCCTGCAGAGAGACAGGATTCAGCCAGGTTCCCAGCAGCAAAGAATATACACTGATAGTTGGATGGCAGCAGCTATCCTCCGTCATTCACTGACCTTTCACCAAATGTGACTGTACCCAAATAGGCATTGGGACTGACCATATCCGAGCAGGTGCCAGGAGTGGCCCCTCCAGGCCAAAGCTGTGGCAGGCAGCAGGCAGCGTGTGCATTGCATGACATACATGCATGCCTGTGGGATGGAATGGGCAAACATCTGCAACACCACACACTCCTGGATTGCTGAGCCACCTTCCTGCAGAAATACTAAGTTATTCCCCTTTGTGGGCCTGTAGCAGACTGTAAATACACACACAGGGGTTCAGGTTTATTGCTTATCAGTGGCATCACCATAAGCTTGTACAGCATTTAAGCTAAAACATATGTATTTTCTTTTACTACCGTATTAACTGCAACAGCATGGGAGTCCAGAGCTTTCCTTTCTATTTGAGTTGCCACTTGCCCTGGTTTCAGCTGGGACAGAGTTAACTTTCTTCATAGCAACTAGTGTGAGGCTATTTTTTGGATTTGTGCTAAGGTGGCAGTCGATAACATACTGATGTTTATAGTTGTTGCCAGGACAGTCAAGGGCTTTTCAGCTTCTCTGCTGTGCCAGTGTCTGCAGGTGCAGGAGAAGCTGGGAGGGTGCACAGCCCCAGTTACTGGCTTAGGATTCGACCTTAAGTTTAGGACTGAGACTCAAATTGGCCAATGGTGTATTCCGTATCAGGCATGTCATGCCCAGTATACAGATGAGAGTCTGCCTGGAAGTTCACTCTCTCTTTCTCTCTCTCTCGGCATCGTCTTTTACTCCGGATGGTCAGGTTCTTCTGTCTTTCCTGGGATTGCAGTTTCAGGACTCCCTCTGCTCTGGGATCATTAGCCAGGAATGGACTGAGCCTTGGTCATCAGGCAGTGAGCAGCCGCACTGTGTATCAATCACTTGTATATTTATATATATTACTATTATTA